CTGTGCCTGGCCTGTTCTTCTTTCTTATCTTTTAGCTCAATGTCACCTTAGAAGAGTTTTCTGACTCCACACTCTAAATTAGCACCCCCTCCTCAGTTCCTCGCTGCCACAGCACGCAAGTTCTTTCTTTCATTGCACGCACTGCATGCTCCTTTTAAAGAGTTATTTTACTTTTTGTGTGTCTCCCCACAACTTCAGTGTAAGGTCTGTGAGTCCAGGGACCTTGTCAGTCTTGTTCAGTTTTCCCCAGCACCTAGCAAAGCCCCTGGCACATGTAGGTGTCATAAGTGTTTATCACATGCAAAATGAGGTGCCAGAGTCAGTATTTGAGCTCAGTCTTTGTGACCCCAAAACTTCAGCCCTTTCTCATACCTTTTTGCTCCCAGGGCAGCAATCTGGTGTTGGTGGCAAGGGTGCTTGAGAGTCAGATTTGGCTTCAGCAGCCACTTTGGAAGTGCCATTGGGCAATTCCTTTCTTCTCTCTGGGCCTCAGTTTACCCATCTATTCTAAGATGCAGTATTGATGCTCCGAGCCACAGGGACCCTGCCAGGGAAGGGAACAGAAGCAGACAGTTCTATGTCCAGCAGGGGGCGCCATGGGCTCTCTCAACTTCCTTCTCCGCACGGGCCGACTGCCTGGCTCAGCAGTTCTGAGTGTTAGGGTGCCTTCTTGTCTACACACACTCTACCATCTCCTGTCACTGCCCCCAAATACCAAGGAGGGGTTTCTTTTTTTCTTCCATAATTTTTACTTTTTAATGTTGTGGGGCGGCCAGGCGCGGTGGCTCATGCCTGTAATCCCAGCACTTTGGGAGGCTGAGGCGGGTGGATCACGAGGTCAAGAGATTGAGATAAGCCTGGCCAATATGGTGAAACCCCGTCTTTATTAAAAATACAAAAATTAGCTGGGTGTGGTGGTGCACACCTGTAATCCCAGCACTTTGGGAGGATGAGGCAGGAGGATCTCCTGTGAGCCGAGATCATGTCACTGCACTCCAGCCTGGGCGACAGAGCAAGACTCCATCTCAAAAAAAAAAAAAAAAAAAAAAAAGATGGGGGCTTTTCTGTTTTGTTTGTTTGTTTGTTTGTTTTTGTTTTTTGAGACAGAGTCTCACTCTGTCACCCAGGCTGGAGTGCAATGGCACAATCTAGACTCACTGCAACCTCCGCCTAACGAATTCAAGTGATTCTCCTGCCTCAGCCTCCTGAGTAGCTGGGATTACAGGCTCACGCCACCATGCCCAGCTAATTTTTGTATTTTTAGCGGAGACAGGGTTTCACCATGTTGGCCAGGCTGCTGTCGAACTCCTGACCTCAGGTGATCCACACACCTCAGCCTCCCAAAGTGCTGGGATTAAGGTGTGAGCCGCCATGCCCGGCCTATTATAGATTTAGACTTAGAGAAAAGTTGTGAAGATCCTACAAAGTTCCCACAGACCCCACAGCCATTTCCCCCGTTACCAACATCTTACACTTACATGATACATTTGTCACAATTAATGAATCAATGTTGATACAGTATTATCAACTGAAGTCCATACTTTATTCAGACTTCCTCATTACCTTTCGTCCTTTTTCTGTTCTAGTATACTACATTCTATTTCATCATTATGTTTCCTTAGGTTTCTCAGAATTTTCTTTTTTGTTTTGTTTTGTTTTGTTTTTGGGGCAGGATTTTGCTCTGTTGCCCAGGTTGGAGTGCAATGGTATGACCATAGCTCATTGCAGTCTCTAACTCCTGGGCTTAAGCAATCCTCCCACATCAGCCTCTCAAGTAGACGGAACTACAGGTGCATGCCACCATGCCCAGCTAATTTTTGTTTGTAAAGATTGGATCTTGCTTTGTTGCCCAGGCTGGTATTGAACTCGTGAGCTCAGGCCACCCTCCCACCTCGTCCTCCCAAAGTTCTGGGATTATAGGCATGAGCTGCCACAATTTCCTGACCAGACTTTCCTTTTTTTTTTTAATGACCCCAGGGAGGTTTTTAGATGGGACTCCAGTGTGTGTCCTGAGCTCATGGCCACTTTAGATTCCCTCTGGGGAACTTGGGAACACATTTTTATGGTAGAAACTGATGACTCTCATGAAATCCTTTGATCTTCAGAAGTGTCCTCTCAGCCAGGTGGGGTACTGTGCACCTGTAATCCCAGCACTTTGGGAGGATGAGGCAGGAGGATCTCCTGAGCCCAGGAGTTTGAGTCCAGCCTGGGCAATATAGTGAACCTTGTCTGAAAAGGAAGAATGAAAGAATGAAAGAACAAAGAAGAAAGAAAAAAGAAAGAAGGAAAGAAAGAAAGAAAGAAAGAGCTAATGAAAGAAAGAAGTTCCTTTCAATAAATGTGAGACCCTGTCTAAAATGAAGAAGGAAAGAAAGAGAGAGAGAAAGAGAGAGAAAGAAAGAGAGAAAGAAAGAGAGAGAGAAAGAGAGAGAAAGAAAGAGAGAAAGAAAGAAAGAGAGAGAGAGAGATAAAGAAAGAAAAAGAAAGAAGAAAGAGAAAGAAAGAAGAAAGAAAAAAATAGATTCCTTTCAAGAAGACACTTTGAGCGTGCTTGCTATGTGCCAGTCCTGTGCTCTGTGCCAGGGTCCTCCTGGGGATGACAGTCCAGTTATTTTGTCCAAGTTGGAGAACAGATGCACAAGGAAGGCAGAGGGCAAAACTCCACTCTCCTGTTCCACCCAAGGACCCGTCCAAGGTGGAAAAATAGTGACAGGTCCCCAGGAGTGTCCTCCTTCCCATGGGACTCTCAGAAAGGGCATGGCCCCAGAACTGGAGGATTTGGAATGAAAGGAGTCTTAGGGTCTTTCTCAGGTTTGCACCCTCAGTTCCTGGAACCCAGCCTCAGTACTTCACCGGGGAAAGATTGGGGCCTGGAGTTTCCTTCCTTTCCCTGAGAAAGAAACATGCTCTCAAGCATTTGAGGTCACCATTGCCTTCTAATTCAATTTAATAACTTAAGTCAATTCTGTGCTTCTCCGCTTATAAATGGACACTATCAAGTTCTAACAGCGTCTTTGGGAGATAAGTACCATGTTTGTCAGCTCCACTTCACTTGCGGAGAAACTGAACCTCAAGTCCCATTTGGCAAATAATTGGTGGAGGTGAGATTTGAATCCAGGGTTCGCTCTGTCGCCCAGGCTGGAGTACAGTGGTGCAGTCTTGGCTCACTGCAACCTCCGCCTCCCAGGCTTAAGAGATCCTCCAGCCTCCAGCTCTCATGTAGCTGGGACTGCACGTGTGCACCACACCCAGCTAATATTTGTATTTTTTGTAAAGATGGGATTTCACCAGCTTTCCCAGGCTGATCTCAAACTCCTGGGTTCAAGCAATCTTCCTGCCTTGGCCTCCCAAAGTGCTGGGATTACAAGTGTGAGCCACTGTGCCCAGCCCATCTCAGTTTCATTTGCCCCTCACCTTACCCTGTGGCTGTTTGGGCTTCAAGCTTGGAGGAAAACAGCATTTTTGGAAACTTTTGTCTCTTGACTTACTGAGTTATATTCTCCTCAGCTCTACTTTACAGACCTGGAGGAGCAAAAGGAGGGGGTTTCTTACCCCACACTTGGGAGAAAGGACCCTGCTCCAGCCCACGTTTGCCCTGCTTGAGTAATCTGGGATGAGATGATTTGGGATGGGTGGTGGTTCACTGGCTCTTCCAGCAGAGGACACAGCCCAGGGCTGGGATACAGATGCTCTGGGTATGTTGCCCACCCACCCATGCCTCTCACCAACTGTGGGAACAAATAACTTTTCACCTGTGGTCCTCAGTTTCTTCATCAGTGAGATGGGCTAATATGCCTGCCCAGAGGCATTGTTGCAGCAAAAAAAGATGTAAAAGTGTGTGTCAGCTGAAAGCCCTGTGCAAGGATAACAGATGCGGTTACAATTTCCAATGGGTCGATCCAGGGCCCCACAAGGAAGTTGCTTCCCTGAAGGACCAGGTGAAGAAAGAACTTGTGAGCAGAAGCTTCAAACCCATGTCCAGAACCAACATCAAGTTGAATCCTCTTGTCCACCCCTAGGCCCTCTGTTTCCTCCCACACCACGAGCACAGAGAGGAGATGCCGATATTCTCTAGTACAGGGTTTGGCCAAGCACCTTGAGGGCAAGACATAACATCTGTTTTAGCCCTAAACTTTCCAGCTTCTAGCACAGTATGGGCCATACAATGTACATGTGGATGTTCAGTGAAAGAATGAATGAATGAGTGAATGAATAAATGAATGAATGAATTCACAAGTGGACGAAGAAATGCTGGGTCCACAAACAGGTCCAGCTTTTACCTCCTGGCCCCCAGGCTCCCATCCAAGCCTCCCAAACTTATCCTCCACCCTTCCCTTTACACAGTAGTGCATGAAACCAGAGGTACCAAAAAGGCAAACTGGACTTTATTATAAAGTTGGCTACAAAGTCACCGCAGCACCACGAGGTGGCCATCTGGGCAGGCCCAGGCAGTCTGGCGGCCGGGTGAGTCCCGCACCAGGTACACGCACTCGTGCAAGCACACGTGTGACGGCAGGTCTGCCTTCCTCCATCGGAAAGGAACGTAGCGTCTCTTCGCACCCCCCACCCCAGGCGCGGGGCGCAAAAGTCACAGGAAGGGCCGCCAGGGCGGCAGAGTCCATCGGAATTGAAATCCCGTTACTGGTGTGTAGAGAATTCTACGTGGGTGTCAAGAGCCCCTCAGGGCACGGGCTGGCCCGGGTGGGCCTTGCCTTTCCCCCACCAAGGCCTAGAGGTGGCTTGGCCCCTAGGAGTGGAGAACTGGCCCAGGCCAATGGGGCAAGGCGGCGGGGAAGTGAGACTCCCCCATTCTCCGCTTGAAATCCCATTCAAGGAAACTCACTACGAGTGAATACAGATTGAAATGGAAACTGGGATCGCTCGAAGTCTCTTGATTTTAAAAAGAAGCTCCCCTCCCTTGCCCTCCCACCTCCCCCCCCCAAATCCTGCAGGGCCTGGGGAATCATATATATCCCCCTCTGGCCCCCAGAATCCCCCCAACAGTCCCGGGGGGGTGGAGAGCGGCTCCACGTCTTGATGACAATATGCCATACTTGACGACGTTAAGTCACAGACTTATTCAAAACGTTGGTTCCCCTCCACTTCCATCTGCAGAGAGACAGAGAGAGAGAGAACACAATCAGCTAGGCCAATAAGGACAGAGGATCCTGGGGCTGAGAATGTGTTGGTATTAATATGGGCTTCAAAGATGTTGGCTCAATGATGAAACGATGGCCAGAGGCTCAGCAGATTAGGGGGCAATTTGGATGGATGGAGTGAAACCGTGGCTGTAGTTTAGGAAGGATGGGGCTGTAACCAGGGAGCTACCTCAATGGAGTCAGGGGCTGAGCCTCATCTTTCTTTTACCAACTTCTATAAACTCTTGCTCTATATCCCTTTCAGGGAGCTAGGATACTATGATAGAGCTCTAGTTCCTCTTCCATAAGTTTGTTGTGTGCCCTAAGGAAAGTTTCTTTAACTCTGGGACCTTGATTATTTCCATCTGTAAAGTGGGGTAGTGAAGATTGACCTAGGACTCTCATGGAGTTAAGCACAAGCCCTTCCTTAAGGATTCTCTACCACTCTATCCCACAACCTCAACCCCTGCCAGGTCTACTTGTTCAAACTTTCATATTAAGCCTTTCATTTTTTCCTATGCCCACTGCTACTCTCTGCAGCAGTGGATGTCATCCCCTTAATAAAATCAAGGTACAGAGAGGGGGAATTGATTTACCTAATTCTACCCAGCATTTCATTGGCAGGAGAGGGACTTGAGTTCTTGGACATTTTGGCTGACTCACCTTCATGGAAGCTGTCTTGAACTTGGCTCTGGAGTTGATGCAACTCATCAGTAAACCCATCATAGGGGAATGCTGAGACACCTGTCTCAAAGGCGGTTTCATATGTGGCCAGGTCCTCCAGGAAGCTGTGGTCTTCTGGGGACAGGTTGTTGCAAGGCGATGGGGCCCCTCCTGGGCCCTCTGCCTCAGGATCCCCTGAGCCCCATTCCTCACTGGGGTCTGGGGTAGAGAGATCCATGAAGATGTCTTCCACGGGCGTCTCTTCCAGGAACATGTTATCAGGGTCAGCCAGGAAGTCCAGCTCCTGGCATTTCCAGGGTTTCAGGTCCAGGCTGAGCACAGGGGGGCCTGCCCCTGACAGGGACAGGTTGGAGTCTAGGGGCTCCAGTCCTCCAAGTGGCTCTAGTCCACCAGTGCCAGCCTCAGCTGAGAAGGGTCTGTCCATACCCTGAGCCAATTGGCTAATCTGCTGGATGAGACGGTCTATCTCGTTCTGCTCCTTTTCAGAGTAGTGGAAGAAACTCTGCTTGACTGGAGAGGCCTCAGGTGTGAGCAGGCCTTCGGGCACCAGGGGGACATCCACAGAGAGGGGGCCCCGGAGCTGGGCTAGGGCCAAGAGCGTGCAGTCCCCATTACCAGGGCTGCTAGGACTTGGGGGCAACTTCTCATAGAGAAAACTGCATCCCTCCTGGGCAAAGTAAGTCTTGGTAGGATTGGGACTCAGTTGCTCTGGGAAGGTTTGGCTGGGGCTGTCCAGGTGTGCTTGGAATGCTGTGCTGGGAGGAGTCAGCTGTTCATGGGCAGGGCTGCCCAGAGGCTCTGGGAAGGTGGCTGTGCTGGGAAGCAGCTGGTCTGGGAAGGTGGAGGTGCAGGGAGTCAACTGGTCTTCATAGCTTCTGACTGAGGTTTCAGTCAACTGGCCTTGCAGTGGGCTAGTTAGTGGATCTGGGAAGGTTGCACTGCTGGGCGTCAACTGATCAGAGAAGGTCGCTGTGCTTGGAGTCAGCTGTTCTTGAAGAGTGCTGGATGGGGTGGGCAAGTGGGTCTGGAAGGGCTCATGGAGGCTGAAGAGGAAGGCACAGCCTCCTGGCTGATGGGGCGTGTACGGTGGAGTGCACACAAGATCCTTGCTCAGTTCTGCTTGGAGAGAAGGCTCAGGCCCAGAAGGGAATGTCAGGTAACTGAAGTCCAGTTCTTTGGAGGGTCGGGGAAGCTCTTCTGATGCAGAGACAACACTCAGTTCAGGAGCACTGGGGAAGCTGGTGCTTCTGGGAGCCCCCAGGGCTGTGGTGAAGAGTGGGTTAGTGCTGGGGCACTGTTCCTGGGAAAGAATGTTTTCAGGGAATGAGGGCAGCATGGTTGGAGCGCCCAGGACATAAGCTGCCTGGGTATCTTCAGAGTTCAACTGCTGGCGGAGGCTCCAGGCTTCCATGTCACTGGAGAGGAGAGAAGAGGCAGCTGGTAAGGGTCTGATGTCCATTTCCAGAGCAGTTCCCTGATTTGTATCTCCTCCATGCTGACCTCAGCTGCCCCCTAGGCCCCTGGCTTGTGGCTTACCTGATTGGGTAGTTATTGGCAGTAATGGGGCCCTCTGGACCTTCTGAGTATAATAGGCAGTAAATCCATGCCCAGCCTCCAGTCTTGGCCTGTAACCTCACCACCATCTCTGCCTGAATATCTCCACTCTCAGCCACTGGGGAGAAAGAAGATGCAGAGTTAGGATGCCCACCAGGCAACTCTACCTACTCCCTGCCCTTGGTCACCTCTCCACTGAATTGAGATAGCCATGACATCCTCTCTTCTGACTACCCTCACCTGCACCACTCAGCTCTCTACCTTGACCTCACCACTCAAAGTCCCCCAGTTCTGATTCGATTATTGCCTTGAATCCTCACCCTCATATTCACCCTATAGCGTCCAAAACTGTTGGCCTCTGTTATCTCCCCAGCATCACTCTTGACTACAGCTCATCTTTGTCTGGTCTCCCATGCCCTTTCCCAGCTTGCTATCTTGTCCCCAGCCTCTCTGGACACTCACACAGGCGGTAGTGTTGAGCAGAAGCGTGGGCCAGGTCCTCGGGGTGCAGCAGTCCATACCATGATTTACAAAGCAGTTCACTGCGCTCAAAGCCCAGGTAGATTAGGACACTGGGAAAGTGGAAAGGGTGAGGTCAGCTTTCTGTTTTCCTTGCTTGATACCCATGCATCTCACTCCCTCCCAGATCCTCTGCCCCCTTAAACCCCATCCTCCCTGCCCCTGACTCCAGAATCTAGGGTTCCTTCATCTCTGGCCTGCCTTCCTCTTGGAATCTGAACACTCCAGGCTTACCTCTCAGAGATGTCCAGTAGGGCCAGGTCTTTAGCATGACGACTCTGGAACATGGCCAGGAAGAGTGAGGCAGGGCCAGGGCCAGGGCCAGGGCCAGGGCGGGGTCTTGGCTCCAACGGGGCACAGAAAGCTGTGAACACGGGGTTTCCTGCCCAGTAGGCCCCAGGTGGGTGAGCATGGAATCGGCCTCGAATAAGCACCAGTTTGTTGCCTGCACTCTGGCGCCTGAGAGACTTGGAGGTGTTGAAGCGGCAGCGGAAGAGGCGATCTAGATAGGAGAAGAGAAAAACAGATAAGAGGGTGAGTGGCTGAGAGAGACAGTGGATAGTGGGAAGAAGGGCAGCAGGTGGGAAATTGGACTCAGGAAGGGAGAAAGGAGTCCTTACCAGTGTCCAGGGCAGAGGGCAGGGTGAGTTGCTGGCGCACAGTGAGGTGGTCAGCTGGGTCAATGATGTCGTAGATGCTGTCACCCTGGGCAACCAGGTCCACCTGGAGGAAGGAAAAGAAGAGATGACCATTAGTGAGAACAGCAGAAGCCAATCTTTGATCTATAGTGTCTAGTAGGGTATAACCTCTTCCTCCATAGTAATTCCCAGTTCCTCAGGAGTGGAAGGCTCATGGCACCCCCTCCATGCCCAACCTCAGCACTCACCATGGAGTGGCCCAGATGCTCGCTCACACTCTCAGACAGGTAGAGCAATTTCCCCTCGGCTGTGAACACAAGCAGAAAGCCGGGTAGGGCCGCTACGATGTCCTCAAGTTCTTGAGCTGAGAGAAGCCCCGTGGGGCCCGCCAGAGGAGTGCCTGTAGGGCGAGAAGACGTGGTGAGTCAGGAGTAAGACTGGGAGCCAAAGCAGAAGTGAAGAAGGCATGGTCTGAGTTTCAGATAATCCAGAGGAATTTCTCGTGGACCTGCCTCTGCAAACACCTGTTGACCCGCTGCCCGCACCTCTTGGCCGGGGAACCTGTTGCTGTATCTCCTCCATAGCCCACAAGCCCCGGACTTCTAAACCGGGGTCGGCTACTCCTCACCTCTGAATTTCAGAACCGCGGACAGAGCTCCAAAGTGGCTCTGATTTCAGAACCGTGGACAGAGCTCCGAAGCGGGCTGTGGGATCAGCACCGTGGACAGCGCCACGCACGGCAGATGCAGCCGTCAGCACCATGGGCAGTGCCCCCGAAGGCGATCCCTTTCAGCACCGCGGACAGTGGCTATGTTCCCCTAGGCTCAGGCGGCTCCATCCCTGCAACTTCCCGGGTTTCCCTCCCCAGCTCCCGGAGCGCCTCTGCACTGGCGGGCACCGAGGCAGCTCTGTCCTGGCTCTTCTCCTCTCATAATCTGGTGTTAGGGACATCGACCAGGCTCTCTAACTCTCATTCAGAACTAAGGTGAGGTCTGGAGGGAGCTCAGGAGGAAAAGTAGATAGTCCCGCATCTCCCGAGTCCCAAATCTCCCCAGCTCGCCAGCACGCTGCCCTAGACATGCGGCAGCCCCAGTGGGTTCCCTCAGTTCCAGGGTCTCCGGCACCTGGCGGCTCGGATCTGCGGTAGCCCCAGCATGCTCACCTCCAGCGAAGAAGACACCCTTGCGAGTGTAGATGCAGGCGAGGCTCATGATGTGCAGGTAGGACAGCCGGACCTTGTCCGCTTCGGCCAGCGGCAGCAGCTCCTTGAGGTTCCGGATCTCGGCGTTGATCTGGTCCCGGCGCGCCTTGGAGGCGCCCTTGGTGGAGCGGTACATGACCGGCGGCTGCGGAGCTCCAGCTCGGGCGCCCGAGCACCTGCGCTCCCGTCCCGACGCACCGGCGGCGGCTTCCTCCTCCGTGCTTCCCCTTCTCTCGCTCAGGCTCGTTCTCTGCTCTCCTGGGCTCCGCTCGGCTGCGCTGCCCCCCTTGCCTGCCTCACGCCGCCTTATATAGCTCCTGCCAGGCGTGGGGGGCTCGTTTTAGAGCGGGGGGGCGGGAGAGCGGGAGGCTGGGCTAAGCAAGCTGCAGCGGGAGCCGCTGACTGGGGAGGGGGGCTCCTCCTCCCGCCCGGCTTCCGACGTCATCTCATGACGTAGAATGAGAGCGGGAGGGGGGCGGGCGAGGGGGGAGCAGGAGGCTGCGGAGGGGGCCGAGCCTGGAGGGAGCTGAGCGGAGAGGCAGGCGCTGCGTTAGGAAAGCTTGAATGGGGTGTGGGGACCCTGGCGTCCGAACGCGTACAGTTGAGGGAAGCGACAGGACCAGGGTTAAGGCGGCCTGAAGCCCCCGGCAGGAGTTTGCAGAGGGCAGAGAGGGGCCAGCACTGACACTAATTTTTCTGAGGAGTTGAGGGAATGGGGAGGAATAAGACTGTCTACAAACCCCCCTCGTTACTTGACAAACAAGGTCACGTTCACATGCAGGGAAGGAGGACTTTCCTTGGCCTCCGTGGGACAGGTCACAGCTGGGGTTCCTCTCTGGGGACTACTTAACCTGGGATTCCCTTGGCCATTTTCAAAGAAAAAATCCCCACCCCCGCTTCCCAAATTGGGACTTAGCGGCCAATCAGGGGGTGTTCGTGGGGGTCTAAGTCCCTAGGATGGGTGGAAAGGGAGTCCGGTGGGAAAGGGACCAGCTGAATTTGGCGTTGATCCTGTTTTCCCACAGCCAGGAATAGAAACCAACACCAGCGCTGTAGTCTGCAGTGATTCTTGGTTTCCCTCTCAGCTAATTAATCTTACTGACAGGGGAAACTGAGGCAGGGACGCGGGACACGGCGAGGACCTGGGTCTGCACTTAGGCATCCCTTCCCCCCGTTGCCGGCCCCCAAGCGAGCGCTTCCCCCCGCCCTGCTGCCAGCCTCGGTCTCCCCGCGGGCCGGGGGCGGGGGCGGGGCCGGGGGAATCCCAGCTCCATATTAGGACAGGAATCCTCCGGCGGCTGCCGCGGCTGCGGCGGCGGCGGGCGGGGCCTCGCTGCCTCCGCACCGCTCCGGAGGGCTCCCCGCCCTGCCTAGGCGGGCAAGATGGGGGAGCAGCCGAGAAGCAAAGGGACAGCGCTGGACCCTCTATGACCCCTGCACCTACCAGGGACCGTGTATTTTCGCCAGGTTCCCTCCACCCCCTCCACATTTGCGGCGCTAGGGCTGCTGGCTCTGCCTCTCCACCTTCAACTCTCCACTCCCCACCTTCGTTTCTTTTTTCTCTTAGCGTGTTTGGTGGTCGGCTCAGCTTAGTGCCTTGACCCCTGAAGCTTCCCCTTTCCTTCTTCTCCATATCCTGTCACCTTTGCTTTATCCCCACCCCCCACGCCCGCTTTTTTCTCTTTTCACCACAGATTATTGCTCTCTACAGGGGCAAGGAGGTGCCGTTCTTACCCCAGGATTCAATAATGCAAGAAGCAAGTGGGCTAGGGAATGTTCTTATCTGAAATCTCGTTTGATGGAGTAGCTGTGTGCGCATGGAATCGCTTAAGAGGCTGGAAATGAGGCCACTTAAAAATTAGAGGGTGGGACTGGGAATTCCCAGTCACACAGGAAGCATGGAGATGAACTTTGACATCAAAAAGAACAGCTTGGGGCCAGGGAACTCCCCACTCCTCATGGAAAGGGGGGATAGCAACAGAGGTAGAGTGGGAGGAGAGGCAGCTGAGAAGAAGTATGTCTTAGAAGAGGGGTACAAGGTGTGGAGACCCTATTCTTGTGTCTTATGCATTTTGGCAGAGGTTGGGGCCATCCTGTGGTCAGTGTCGCAACTGAGGTGGAGGGAACGATGTCCGTGTGTCTGTCTGCCACAGTCTCTAACCCTATTGATCTGGATGACAGAGAGATGATTCCTCCTGGACATGGGTCTGTGTTGCTTCTTTCATCTCAATCTGACCTCTAATGTACCTACCCACCCCTCTCTCAAGCTTCCATTTCAACAACCCTTGATCTTTGGATCCCCTTCTGTATGAAATTCCAGGGGAGTTGTTCCTGTGTTCTTCACCCACTGATGATAAAGCTGCCTGTGAGGCATTCTGAGTGTCCCTCTCCACGATAAGAGGAGTCTACTGGTTGGGTCCCATGGCCTCCTGCGATCTGAGCGAATCTGCAGTGAAGGAATGGGGCGCCAACCGCTGTCCGTGGTGCTGAAAGAGCCACCGGGGAAGTCAGGCTACGATTTGCCGGGGACATCGAAGTAGGGCTTTGGGTACCCACAGGCCTCAGAGTGAGCCTCCCCTTTGACTGTCCCCTTATTTTCTGTGAATGAATATGGGGGTTTTGCAGGGAGCCAAGATTTCTGGGCTCTAGGGGTGAAGTAAGCAAGGGAGGAAAACTGGGCTCAAGGGAAGAGCCCCTGGCTTTTTCCAGAAGAATGGAATGGGAAGAAGCACTTTGGAAGGAAAGAAGGGTCTAGAAAGGGACAAGGGAGGGGGTAGAGAAGGGCTCATCCTAGTTCGCCCACTCTGATTCAAGTTGAGAAGCTCTGTATGCCCCGATGTCTCCTCTCCCTAGGCCAGCTCCCACTCCCCTTGCCTCCCACCTCCGTGAAGCTATTTTTAACCGTGCAGAACCAAAAATAGCTTGGCAGCAGCTTCAGGCCGTGGGAGAGGAGCTATTTATATCACCAGTGACGGTTCCGAAATAGCAAGCAGGAGGAGGGGGGCGGCTGGCACACTAGAGAGCTCCTGGCCGCTGCTAAAAATACTGGCAGTGTGAGTCATTCTGGCCTGGCTGAGTCACCCCACTCTCTCCCCCAAGTGGCAGGCAGCAGCAGCAGAACAAGCTAAGAATTAGAAGCCTGAGATGGGGGAGGCATCAGAGCCTGCTGGCTGTGGGAAAGTGGGCAAGGGAGTGAATTGGGAGAGGGGCTTTGGGGTGAGTGTGTAGAAGGAATGGGAGAGCACAGCCTCTCAGCCAAACCTACTGGGCAAGCGTGCAGCATCCCCAGCTATGCAATACCGCTTAAGGATGCTTGGGCAATTGAAGGAAAAGAGCCAGACTGTGTGTGTGTGTGTGTGTGTGTGTGTGGACACGCCTGTGTTCATTTGACTGAGACTGTGTTTGTGTGTCCTGTGTGTTTGCCTCTAAACCTGTCTGAACGTGGTTGCACGTCTATATCTCTATCTGTTTGCATGTGTCTTTGTAGCTGCAAGTCTGTACCCCTATATATCTATGTGTTTACCTATGTCTGCATCTATGTCTGTCTTTTTTTTGGTCTCCAACTTCTTATGTTGTGTGCAGTTCTATGTTTGTGCCTGTGTGTATTTATGTCTACAACTTTCCATATGCCTCTCTGTCAGTGTCTGTGTTTGTGTCCATATCTGAGTCTGCTCTGGGTCTTTCAGCATCTGATGGCGTGGTGGGATGTGCATGCATCCCCAGACTCAGTATAGCTTCTGTTGCCCTCTCTGATGTCACCTGTTGGGCTCCTGCACCATCTATATCTTGCTCACCCCTTTCCACCTAGCATATTCTCCTCTTTCCAAGGGCCCCCTGACCATTTACAAAGCTCTCTTGTTGCATGCAATCTCTAGTAAAAACATGGAGGAAAGGAGCCCCACATGACCTCTCCCTTTTCTCTTGAATCATCCTGAATTCTCCCTGGCCTGCAGGAGTAAGTGGTTTTCCATCACTCCATATTTGGAGAGCTGAGAGAAGAGAAGGGCTTTCTTTAGTTCTAAAAAAAAAAAAAAAAAAAAAATCCTGGTGTGGGCACAGGCATGCGTAGCGCGCATGCACACACACACACAGGCGCACATACACATGCACGCACACACACACAACTGAGAGAATGAGAGAGAAAAAAAATCAAGGTCCCTTCTTTACTGAGAAGAGCTCGCATCTGTTGCCATAGCAACCCACCCACTCCTTCCCCGAAAAATCACCAAGAAGAGGTGATGGCATCGAGGAGGGATTGGCTGATTCCTTTCTTTATTATTTTTTCCGAAAAAGGGTTTTTGTAGCAAAAACGGGCCGTGAGTTCCCTTGCCCCTGTCTTGCACAGCTTTATTGGGAACCTGGGGGAGGGGCATCACCCCCCAGCCTTTATCAGAGAAGAGGAGGTGTATCTTTTCCAGAGATTTGGAGGAGGATTATCTCCTGGGAAGGAGTTGAAGGGTAGCTGAGGAATCTGCTTCTTCAGAACAGCATGGAGACTCCTGGCTGCTAGTCTGGAGATATGGAGCAAGGATCTTGACAGAGGGCTGTCAAAGTGTGATCTTGTCTTGCTCTGGACAAATGTGTCTACGAGAAAGAGAAAGGGGGAGGAAGGGAAGGGAAGTTGGGAGAGACAGAAAGAATATGAATGAATGAATCACTGAATGGGGCTTCAGAGAAAATGACAATATGCCAAAGGATGAAAGCTTGCAGTAGTGGTCAGACCAGACAGGTGGGCAAGATGGTCCAAGAAAGATGCATTGATGCAATTGGTGGTGCTGCAAGTCACCAATGAGACCACAGCTGCAACTACTTAACTTGTGGCCACAGGTGAATGTTCCAGAGGAGCACTGACGCCCATTTTTCACAGTTCTATTCCCAGCCTGAGTCTCAAAGGCCTCCTCCAAAGCCTGGCCACCAGCCACTGCAGCCACATCACTCTCTCAAGTGAACTGTAGCTTCCTGCCAAACGACTGGATGGTGGAAAGAAAGGGATTCCTTGTTTCCTCCTGTGCTTGGCTTGCTACAGAAATGGGATCACTTGGGGCTCGAGCTTGGAAAGACAGATGAAGAATCTGACCCTGGAGAGAGACACCTTCTTTTCTGGCAGGCTGCTGCCACCCTGAGCAGGCAAGGGCATGGCCAGGTGAGGTTGGCATGGGCAGTGGGTGCAAATCCACTTAACATTATGGAGCAGAGGGACAAAAAGACTCCAGATTTGCTCTGGCCTGTTAGACACATTCTCACGACAAATCTCACTGATATCATTATTTTTATTTATATACAGTCTTGTTCTGTCATCTAGACTAGAGTGCAGTGG